CCAGGGGGGCTGGGGTCAGGAGGTCAGGAGGGCTGGGCTCAGGGGGGCTGGGCTCAGGGGGGCTGGGCTCAGGGGGGCTGGGCTCAGGAGGTCAGGAGGGCTGGGCTCAGGGGGCTGGCCCAGTGGAGGAAGCCCCCCCTTGGCGGGCAATGGACGGAGCCACCTGCTGCGATCCAGCCGTCCATCAGCGAAGAGCGGGCCGGCGTTAGAACCGTGCCCGTGGCCCGATTGTGGTGGGCATTCTAGAACTGGGAGGGAAGCCGGCATGGAGCGGGCCCCCCGGGGACGCCCCCCAGCCCCCGATGGGGCGCCCACCGCCTCCCGCCCAGCATCTTCCTCTCCGGGGACCCCCGTCCCTCCTCGCCGAAGGCCTGGGGATTACAGGACTGGCCTGGGCAGGGGTGGGGGGCGCAGTGTCAGCTCAGAGCCGCACCCCAGGCCGCAGAAAGCCCCCCGCGGAGGCCCCGGTCATCTGCCACCTCCTGCTCCCTCAGGGGCCCAACTGTGGTTCTACTCAGGCGCCATTGGTCCTGGAAATCAGGGGGTAGCCAGCAGCCCCTCCGGCTCTAGAAACAAGTAGGTCTGGGAGGTGAGCAGCACTGACCGCCGTTTAGATCTCTGAACCATCAGCCAATGCCAGGACCTGACAACGAAGCAGAGGGCTGTTTTTTATCCCCCCCCCCCAGGGAGACTTTAGAACATTCCACACCTGGCACCCCATACCCAGGGCGTGGAGGAATGGTGACTGTTTTCTCTTCCCTATACTCTGTGTTTTTATTCCTTGCGCTTGAGCGTTTTTTACAGTCTTCATTGTTGGTCTCTGGGGTGTCTTTGGGTACCGGGCTGGTCAGAGCCCTGCACGCTCTAGATCTTAAAGGAACACGCCCAGCACCACACCCAGGTTTTGTAGGGAGCGAGCAGGTGATAGTGACGCGAGTGTGCACAGCTGTGTGTGCACAGAGCTTTCGGAGCCCCTGGGACAGATGGCCGGGGCCGAACCCCACAGCCGGCATTCACCGCGCAGCTCTGGATCTTCCCAAGTTTCGTTTTTATGGGACGGTGACCGCAATCTTCCCTCACCTTGGGAAACCCAAACAGCCACAGGAGTCAACGGAAAACCCAAGGCTCTTCTACCTTACTGAGAAATTAACCCTCCTTCGTTGAGTATTGTTAAGATGCCCTGGGATACGTGCTAACACAGAAGTGTTAGGTCTTCTTTGTGTGCTGGGGCTTGAACTCAGGGTCTCCGAGCTGGACTTGAGCTTTGAGCCACAGCTCTACTGGTGGCTTTGTGGTGGTTCACTGGAGGTAAGAGTCCCACTGACTTCCTTGCTGGGGCTGGCTTTGAACCTCAACCTTCAGATGTCAGCCTCCTTGGGATTACAGGAGTGAGCAACGGGTGCCTGGTGCTCTCTCTCTCTCTCTCTCTCTCTGTGCAAACAGGGACCTGAGGCTCAAGGATATGAATCATGATTACTTCAACAAGATTAGTGAACATTATCACATCAGAAACAAAAGCAAAGCCGTTTTCTCGCCGAGGGTTCATTCCTCTTTCGACCGAGGAAATGAAACAGAGAACACAGAGTGGGTTGCAGACTAAGCGGAGCGCAGACCGAGCTGCTGCCGCCTCAGTTTCTCCCCGGTGAGGGGGAATCTTTTTTTTTTTAATTCAAGCAACACTATAATGTAGTATTCTTCTTTTTTTTTTATATATATACACTTGTTTTGTTTCCTTCACCCTTGCACACCAAAGTAGGGCTTTACAGCTAGACTTTGGGTGACAGGAACATTTATAATTTATAAATGTATAAAACATGCTATGAACATTATACAACACTTATAATCACACACACACACCCAGTCTCTGCACGGGGCAGGTGCATTTTACAGGGACAAATACTGTGAATATGGAGGCCCACCAGCCTGGCCCACATGCACCCGTCTCCAAATCCTCCAGACGTTACCTCGACCTCCCATGAATGCAGGCGATCGATTTGCAATCAGGGCCTGACCAGCACAGGGAGAATTCCCGCCCTCTCCTGACAGCTCTTATTTTATTGGGAGGAAATTACACAGCTAGAGATCAGGTCTTTTTGTGTTATTATTATTTTTAATAGCAGTAGGGTTTTCTGTTGTTGGTGGTAGTGGTTGTGGGGCCTGAACTCTGGGCCTGGGCGCTGTCCCTCAGCTCTTCAGCTCAAGGCGAGCACTCTACCGCTGGAGCCGCAGCGCCACTTCCGGATTTTTTCTTTTTGCTTATGTGGTGCTGAGGAATCGAACCCAGGGCCTCATGCATGCAAGGTAAGCACTCTACCACTGAGCCACCTTCCCAGCCTTGTTTTTATTTATTTTTTTTATGTAGTAGAATGAAATAAATATCACCTTTGGCTTGAGGAGAGTCGGCCTGGTGTCTCTTGTGCTTGGAGTGGGTAGACCTTTTATCATCTTTTTTCTTGTTTCTTTTAGTCATCCTGACAAATAGCCTAAGTCTGTTTATACCTACTCTGTAGGAGTTGTCATTGTACAATGCTCCAAAAAATGCTTTTTGGCTCCAGGCTTCACTCCGTGTGTGTGCGTGTGTGTGTGTGTGTGTGTGTGTGTGTGTGTGTTAACCTCTCCAGGCTTCACTCCCTCTGTGTGTGTGTGTGTGTGTGTGTGTTAACCTCTCCCTGCTAAGAGGTTTTACAATCCACAAACAGCCCAGATCGGCTATGAGGATGTAGGATCTTCACAGAACAGCTTTGACAGCGGACACATGCTGGCGTTTATATTATATATTCCTCTCCATTTCCTCCCTCTCTCTCCTGTGGTAGAGTTAAGAAGAACAGATGTCGTGTTCGGATTATATGTTGAAATTCTGCTTGTTCTGCAGTAATTATGCATATTCAACATTATCTTACTATCGATTGTTTTTCCTTCGCCTTGGGCATATCATAATTTCCTCTTTCTCTTTCCCCTGACATCTTTCTAGAACTTTTCTCTTTTCAAAAGAGTTGTCAAATCCGCCCTTCAAAATTATTTTGAGCTGGGCCCGGATGTGGCTCACGCCTGTCATCCTAGCTACTCAGGAGGCTGAGATCTGAGGATCATGGTTGGAAGCCAGCCCAGGCAGGAAAGTCCATGAGACTCTTATCTCCAATAAAACCACCTGGGACAGCACCCAGGCCCTGAGTTCAAGGCCCAGGGCCAGCACAACAGCACCGAAACATACACGATCAGAATAAATGATGAGTTAATTCAACCTGAGACAAAGCAAATCACTTCTATCATGGAGCAACCCAGGCCTCAGAATAGATCCACTGAAGGGCCAGAGGGGCTAGTGATGCCAATTCCATTCGGCAGTGGTTTGGGGGCAGAATGATTACTCCTGCTCACTAACGTAGTGTAGCACCCGCAATGTGGACACCGAACAGACAAAAACATGCACGGAGGGCTTGTAAGAGCCTGGAAGTTTCCATTTGGATCTCTAAGGAGGGAGTGAGCTCAAACTCCTGGAGAAGCGAATCTCGTGGGCTGCAGCTGGGACTCATCGAGACCTAGCGCCCACAAGACAGACCCCAGACGTCAGACCCCCAGAGCAGAGTCCTGCTCACGGACGTCCTCAGAAATCCGTGGACACGGTGCTAATCTGAGGTCTTCTTTTTCAGACTCTTGAGATCATGGACAAGCAGGGTAAGTGACTGAATCCTGAGCCTTTCCGGTCCTGCGTGCGATATTCAATCACAAGGGTTGGTTCCTCTCCTAGAATGACGGAGCAGGCTTTGGGTGGCTGTGTGCTGCAGGACCTTTACCCCCGGAGAGATCTGTGAGCCAAACAAATGACTCTGGTGTTGATATTTTTTTTCCCCTTCAGCAATACAAAATGAAAGGTCTCTCAATGTAAACTGTGCAGAACAATAGTGCTCTGCATGCTAAGCGTGTTTGAAGACTTCAAGGCCATGGTCTCGTTTGCTTTGACATTCTTTAGTTCAATTGTGTGTGTGTGTGTGTGTGTGTGTGTGTGCATACCTATGTGTGAGTAAACAAATGAAGTGCATATGCATACATGGCATTTAAGTATTGAATAGATACACATGCACTTATATATACATAATTAAAAATTATCTTCAAGACAGTGTCACAGTCCTACAAGTTTCATAAGACATTTTAAGATGAATTCCGGGTATACAAAAACAGAATTCATTCAACAGGCCTTCAACGTCACCTTACGCTCAAACCTGCAGCCATTAGCGCTGAAGCAGGTGTGATTTAAAAACAATCAAAAACCCAGTATGTACTTTGGCCTTTTTTTATTGCAGCATAAAAACCACACCAATGAAGTTACCTCAGGACCCTGCCTTACTTCATTCTAGTGTTTGTTTTACTATGCAAACCTACGTTTCCCTCTCCTTGAATTACAGGCATGCAAACGACCGCTCAGAATCCAGGACTTCCTCCTCAGTATCCACCCGCCCCATTCCCAGGTAAGAAAATAGTTGACTAGGAAGAAAACCTGGTATCAATTGATTGATGATCCAAAGGGACAGAGAGAAGGGGGGGCAGGGGGAGAAGGAAGAAGAAGAGGAGGGGGGAGGAGGAAGAGGAAGAGGGGGAGGAAGAGGAGGAGGAGGAGAATGTGCCTTTACATTAAAATTTAAACTTGGCTAGTTTTCTTGATTTTTCTTTTTTTTTCTTTTTTTAAAAAATTTATTGCAGGGGCTGGGAAGGTGGCTCAGTGGTAGAGTGCTTGCCTTGCATGCATGAGGCCCTGGGTTCGATTCCTCAGCACCACATAAGCAGAAAAAAGCTGGAAGTGGCGCTGTGGCTCAAGTGGTAGAGCACTAGCCTTGAGCTGAAGAGCTGAGGGACAGTGCTCAGGCCCAGA